TAAAATACAACGCTTGATTTTTCCACGCTGTTTATTTTCATTTTCCCCGGGACAGCTGAAAAAATCTGTGATTCCAATCCATGTCCTTGGCCATCTCCGGTGACTTCTTTCAGCAAACTCCTTCAAACTCCTTGCATGCGTTGACTTCCACAAAGAAATTAAAACAAGTGGTTTGCATACCCTGATCAGACACTCTTGGGGTGAGAGTGTCTCACAAATGTAGGATTTTTAAGACCTTTTTTCCCTCTGGCAGAGGCATTTCTTTTTTGCAGGGTTTTTCCCCCCTTCTAACATAGAATAACAGAGTGGGAAGGAAGGGACCTTGGAGATCTTCTAGACCAACCCCCTGCTCAAGCAGTAGATCATAGAATAACAGAGTGGGAAGGGATCTTGGAGGTCTTCTAGTCCAACCCCCTGCTTCTACATCTGTGGTACATTGAGGATGTGTTTGTGAGTACACACATATATGTGGATAATAAGATTGTTTCCATAGTCAGGTTATTTTCCACTGTTGTGGTACCAGTGGCAACTCTGCTGTGCTCACACAACAGTACAAGGAGATAAAGACCTGACAGGTGGATGGGTACAAAGGATGGGGGGGGGGAAACCTCTAGGGAGATGAAAAAGTTTAAGATGATATCTTTCATATGATGAAAGCTCCTTCCCTTTTCTATGTCCATCAAAGCATGTCAAAAAAAACCACTTCCATGGGACAGTTGTGGTGGCCGTAATGACTTTATTTGACCAGCCCATCCCTGGAACCTTCAGCTACTAGACTCAACGTTTCTAAGGAAGAAACTGAGTTTCTGAAGAAGGTCTATTCCTTTGGCCCCATTGATTTATGCATTTAATCAAAAGCCCCAATTCCATTGTTCTAGTTACTTTCTTCAGTGGGACAGATAGATAGATAGATAGATAGATAGATAGATAGATAGATAGATAGATAGATAGATAGATAGATAGATAGATAGATAGATAGATAGATAGATAGATAGATAGATAGATAGATGGACGGACGGACGGACGGACGGACGGACGGACGGACGGACGGACGGACGGACGGACGGACGGACGGACGGACGATGGATGGATGGACAGAGATAGAGATAGATGGATGGGACAGAGAGATAGACAGACAGATGATGGATGGACAGTGATATAGATAGATAGATAGATAGATAGATAGATAGATAGATAGATAGATAGATAGATAGATAGATAGATAGATAGATGGATGGATGGATGGATGGATGGATGGATGGATGGATGGATGGATGGATGGGACAGAGAGATAGACAGACAGATGATGGATGGACAGAGACATAGATAGATAGATAGATAGATAGATAGATAGATAGATAGATAGATAGATAGATAGATAGATTCTATCTATCTATCTATCTTTGGATGGATGGATGGATGGATGGATGGATGGATGGATGGATGGGACAGAGAGATGGACAGAGACATAGATAGATAGATAGATAGATAGATAGATAGATAGATAGATAGATAGATAGATAGATAGATAGATAGATAGATAGATGATAGATAGATAGATAGATTGGATGGATGGATGGATGGATGGATGGATGGATGGGACAGAGAGATAGACAGACAGATGATGGATGGACAGAGATATAGATAGATAGATAGATAGATAGATAGATAGATAGATAGATAGATAGATAGATAGATAGATAGATAGATAGATAGACAGATGCATGCATACCTACATACATACATACATACATACACGGACAGATATAGGTGGTTGGTAGGTAGGTAGGTAGGTAGGTAGGTAGGTAGGTAGGTAGGTGGGTAGGTGGATGGATGGATGGATGATAGACAGACAGACAGACAGACAGACAGAGGCAGTTCAAAGAATAAACTCCAGTTAAGGGATTCATTAGCAGAAGAGGGACCTAACCGAAGAGTTCAAGACAATCTTTGAACCCCAAGGAATGATGGAACCTGGTCCAGGTTAACCAGCTGAGGTTATTGTGATGCACCTGACCCAGGACTGTCCTTGAAAGTAGAGTTGGTGTGGATGGCAGCAACCTGGGTGTGGTATATACAGTAGGTTTTCCTCAACTTTAGCCATTTTAAGACTTGTGGACTTCAACTCCCAGAATTCCCCAGCCAGCATGCTGGGAGTTGAAGTCCATGCCACTTGAAATGTTCCGAGGTTGAGAAACATTGATCTGGAACCAAATTTCTGTTTACTTTACCCTGATTCCTGGATTCTGTCCAGTTCAAACATTGTAAAGTCCTACTAAACAGGGGCAGACCAAATAAAAGGAATTATGATAAATTAATCTTGGCCACTCCAAGGTTCCTTAATTATGAATGTTATGAAAAATTTGTTTAGTATTCAGGAGGCAAAGGATATATTAGTGATCTAAAAATATTAGCATTAAGTTGTTCATTTTAGATCATTCAATCAGAATGTCTTGGCGATGTGCAAAAGAGAAGCTTGGAATGCATTCATTGCAAGAACTAAATCAGGGTTTTGTCTCCATAAAGATAAATGTTTTGACTGTATTATTTCCCCTGACTCTGCATATTTGCCCTACAGGAAGATAATCTTCACGGTTAGAGGCAAGGAAATATGTCCCTTGGAATAACCTCAATTAATGCATCTGGCAGTTCAGAATAGATTGTATTCAACTGCAATCTGTTGCTGACATTCAGAAGCTGACATCAAAAAGTTAATGTGTTGGGTCAAGGCTGCATTTAAAAGAAATGTTCTATCGGTCGACCTGAGTCTACTACAATTCTACTTTTTTTTTTAAAAAAAAGATCCGATACATGGAAGAAGTTAGAACTATTTAAATTAAGCTGGGTCCATGAAAGTTTGCTAACTAAGGCATAAAATGCAGCTGCAAGGATCTGTTGAATCTATCTCAAGGTTGCAAAGATAGCAAAGCGTATTGTAAGCTCCGAGTAGGCCACCCAATGCCCCTGTCCTACTCTCAACATCTCAATGCCAAGTTCCCCATCCTTTTTTGCCTGATTTATTTACCTAAAAACAGGCCACCCCTGCTTAAAAAATACACCTTAGCTTCGACTAAATGTGCTAAGATGTCTAAGACGTAGAGTAGCCAACATTCCATGTTCCCTTTTGGATCACAAAACATGAGGCAGGAAAGTTGAAGGTTGTCTCCTCACTCCAAAACATGGTGTCCATGTTAATAAAGTCCTGGGTTTATTTTCAGCTCGTCTCCTCACCATTTAAGCCATTTCCCATCATCTACAAAACTCTGTTGCTTGGGAGAGAATAAGAATAAGAATAGAACAGAACAGAACAGAACAGAACAGAATAGAACAGAATATAAAATATGGAATGGAATGGAATAGAATGTAGAATAGAGTAGAGTAGAGTAGAGTAGAGTAGAGTAGAGTAGAGTAGAGTAGAGTAGAATATAAAATATGGAATGGAATAGAATAGAATGTAGAATAGAATAGAATAGAATAGAATAGAATAGAATAGAATAGAATAGAATAGAATAGAATAGAAATACAGAATAGAATAGAATAGAAATACAGAATAGAATAGAATAGAATAGAATAGCATTACAGAGTAGAATAGAATAAAATTACAGAATAGAATAGAATAGAATAGAATAGAATAGAATAGAATAGAATAGAATAGAATAGAATAGAATAGAATAGGGAATAGAGAATAGAATAGAATAGAATAGAATAGAATAGAATAGAATAGAATAGAATAGAATAGAATAGAATAGAATAGAATAGGGAATAGGGAATATAGAATAGAATAGAATAGAATAGAATAGGGAATAGAATAGGGAATAGAATGGAATGGAATGGAATAGAATAGAATAGAATAGAATAGAATAGAATGACAGAGTTGGAAGGGACCTTGGAGGTCATCTAGTCCAATCCCTGCTCAGGCAAGAAACCCTATATTATTTCAGCCAAATGGCTGTGCAGTCTTTTCTTAAAAACTTCCAGTGTTGGAGCCCCCACAACATCTGGAGGCAGGTTGTTCCACTGGCTAATTGTTCTACTTCTCAAGAAATTCCTCCTTAGTTCCATGTTGCTTCTCTCCTTGATTAGTTTCCATCCATTGCTTCTTCTCCTGCCTTCAGATGTTTTGGGGAACAGGTTGAAACCCCCCCCCCCCCGCCTTCTCCATGACAGCCCGCAAGATATTGGAACCCTGCTATCATGTGATGAAAAAGGCTCCACACTTGCTTAAGTACAGGCAGTCCTCAACTTACAACAGTTCATTTAGTGACTGTTAGAAGTTACAACAGTACTGAAAAAAAGTGATGTATGACCGTTTTTCATACTTACATCTTTCTAAGTTGCCTGCTTTTCTCAGATAATAATCATCTAAAGCAGGGGGAGGCAACCTTGGCTCTTTTATGACTCGTGGACTTCAACTCCCAGAATTCCTGAGCCAGCATGGGGGAAACTATGGCCCCTTCATGACTTGTGGACTTCAACTCCCAGAATTCCTGAGCCGGCATGGCTCAGCTTGGAAACCTCCCTTTCCCCTCAGCGTGGCTGGCTCAGGAATTCTGGGAGTTGAAGTCCACGAGTTATAAAAGAGCCATGGTTGCCTACCCCTGATCTGAAGTATGAGTGGTGGAGATGAAAAAAAACCTGGTTACTCTTTCCTTATGCTATCCTGACTAAAGTTAACCACAACTTGATGAGCTGAGGTGCATGTAATCAATCCAGGAGGAGAAGGTTTGGTCCTAAACAATTGGGATTGTTAGTTATGTCCATCCAACTCGCTTATCTCCAGCTGACATTCCATAGATGCAAAGTTAAGTACGCCGAGGACCATGGCAACAACGAGTGTTTCTACTTTTAGTTGACTGCTTCATCGCGATGAAGGACGTAATGTTCTTCACAGATCTTCCAACTTATTTATGGAGTGCAGGGACACCAGCGCCAAATAAAAGGCTGTCAAATGACCGGGATTCCACATTCCGTTTCTTTGATTCTGTCGCCTTTTATTTCAGGAATGACGAACGAAGGGTGGATTGAGCAGAAGAACCGAGCAGATATTTCGTCCTATCTTCTCAAAAGTACCCAAGTTCCCGTGGGAGAGAGCAGAAAGCATCTGTCATTTGAAGAACGGCTATGGAAACACTCTGGGTGTTGACATCCTTTTGGAGAAGATGGAGGCCTTTTCTTTTGTCATTTCTTCTCCGGCCAATCTCGTGTTAGTATCTGCGACGTAGGGAGGAACCTCTCCCGCTGCTCCTTTAGGAAAGACCATCCCCTTTGTAATGACATTGCTAGTGCCAAAGAACTGGTTGTGTTTCTGTATAATCTCAAACCCAGAGATTACGATCTGTACGTTCTGTAAATTGCAGTAGCCAGCAGTATAAATCAGGGGTCTGTGGAGAGGTGGAAGAAGCCGTGGTTGCTTTCCGTGGGTGACACGTTCAAAACGGGCAGGTGTGTGTAGAGGAAAAGGTTGGCAAAGCCTGATTAAAGTGATGGCTACGGAGCTGGCCATGCTTCCTGTAAATAAAACGGCAAAATTTTCTGTAAATAAATAACAGTTCTATTTGAAAACTGAAGCCCTAAAGGGTGGGAAAGACCAGATCTACATGGGAAAGTCCAATCAAATTGATTTATCGCTAAAAAAAAAAAAAAAAGTCAACGCACAGGAATGTTTTTAACCTGCTTGGAGTTGGATCAGGATCAGTGGAATTCAAGGGAGATTGGATTAAGTCCATCTGTGGCGACGTAGAGATTCTAGGCTGATTCCTTTTTTGACTCCACCACCCCCCAAGTTCTGATGCTCCTTTTCCTACACGGCGCTATTGTTCCACACATTTTTCCCCCCTTCACCTTTACCAAATTTGGCTTATTTAAAAGAGCCAGCTTTTTACAAGGGATGATTTCTTTCTAATTTTTTTTCTTTTAAAAAAACAAAAAACGCCATTTAACCTGATCGATTACAATGTATATCAGGGGTAGTCAACCTTGGCTCTTTTATGACTCGTGGACTTCAACTCCCAGAATTCCTGAGCCAGCTTAGCTTAGCTGGCTCAGGAATTCTGGGAGTTGAAGTCCACGAGTCATAAAAGAGCCAAGGTTGACTACCCCTGATGTATATTATCAAAGAAAAGGAAGCTTAAAATTGCCAGAGTGTCAATGAGCAGAATATTCCAGAAAGCTTTATAATGTCACGTTTTAGAATTTCGGAAATGCTCGCGCCTGCCTCACGCAAAGGCGTTCGAACACTCTGCTGTATATTTCACTTCAAATTGAAGTAAAAACGGGAAACAAAAAACAACGTATGGAGAAACTCGCTCGGCGTACGCAAGTTTTATAAATAATGCATGCCGCGCGTGAGACATCTGCTTGCAATGAAGGATATAATGCGGTGATACGGTAAAAGAAGGCGGCCTTTTGAAGGAAAGATTGCTGGATTTGGGGCAAAAGGACAAACAAAGCACAACGGCTGTGCACTGCCGCTAAATTTAACCTTCTGTTCTTTTTAGTATAAAGCATTTGCGCTTCGTTTTCATTAACGAAGTTGAGCGGGAGAGAGATTGCGGTGAGATCTTACAAGCCTGTAACTCTTTTTTTTCCCATTTGGAGCAGCAAGATCTCCCATTTTTGAATTTTAGTCCTAAATACAGGTTGTTCTCGACTTGCAAGTGATTTACAACTGGTTCCTCACACTTAAAACCATTGCAGAGTTTCTACGATGATCAACGTTCAAGAAACTAGCAACTGGCACGTATTAACAATGGTTGCAGCTTCCTGGGAGGGGGGATCCTATGATCCCCATTTGCAACCTTCCCAGATGGCTTCCGATAAGGGGAGCCAGATTCGTTTAATGACCGTGTGATTCCCTCTTAACGACCGCATGGAATCCACTTAGCAAAAGTGGCAAAAACAATGCTCCAAAAATTGGGTGCAACCCGTGCACCACGGCCTCGCTTCGCCGTGGAAATTCTGCTTTTCAACCATGACCGTAAATTGAGGATTACTGCATTTAATGGCGGGCTGGTAAGCTGCTCATTCTTCACTGAAAGGTTTCTACACAATTTCATTCTTCCAACTCAGAGGTCCCCAATCTTTTGGGCACCAGGGACCCCGTTCCGTGGAGAGACGTTTTTCTGTGGACCGGAGAGTGCGTGGTTTTGTGTGCTGCCTGCATCCTGTGGATGGGGCTTTGCTTGTTTGTGCAGAATGTGGTGAATCCCTAGAGCCGTGGTGGCGAACCTGTGGCACGCAGAGCCCTCTCTGTGGGCATGCCCAGCATCGCCCCAGTCCTGGGTTTTATAAAACCTTTTCGCTTTAGGCCTCCGCCGTGTGCAAAAAAAAAAAGGTTCAATCAATCAATCAATTTCAACTTCTCGTGGGAAAAAAAAGATCTCACAAAGTTGGAATTGATTGATTGAACTTTTTAGTCCCACCCAGTCTGCCGTTACCACCGCAGCCACGCCCACCCAATGGGCCACACCCACCCAGCACCTGACAATACATAAATGGGTTTTGGGTTGCAGTTTGGGCACTCGGTCTCTAAAAGGTTCACCATCACTGCCCTCTAGAGCATATGGTCAAAGGATGCACAACACTGAGGTCTATCTGTATCTTAAATTTTGCTTTTTTAGGCAATGTAGTATCCAAGCCTATGGGCAACATCTGACAGGATGCATAAATTAACCTTATGATCTAGAAAGAAGATACTCTGCTCAACTTATATTCTGAGGCTGGTGGACAGTTCTGGACTAAATTCTTCCCCCATTTTTTATACCCTGTTCAATATTTTGAGGTGGCATTTCAATGCCATGCATGCTCAGAAAATGCAAATATTCTTCTTCAAAGACTGGCCGTATGCTTTCCCCCTGTAAACCACAGCGCTACTGGAATCCAGTCAAAGTTTTACGGTCCTTCAAATTGAGGTTGGAGCCAGGGAGGAAAGACTAAAATGCAAGTATATACAACTTCTGTCTGTGACAGGCGGAGAAATTCCGTGAAAATTAGCAACTCAGCAGTGGAATAAAGTTATCTCCGATGGGAAGGTTGGGATGTGGATTCTTATTTGTTGCAAGAAACAATGGCATTGTTACGCGAGAAGATTTAGGATCTTTAAATAAATGTTGAAGGTTTCCTTACCCGCTAAGTATTTAATTAACAACAGACCATAATTTCAAGAGGTTATGCACTCTTAAGGAGTTTATGCTAGCAAGGGGGGAAAAAAAATCCATGCCTGTTTTCAAACGTTAAGTGCTGCGTATATGTGTCCAGTTAACATTCTGGAATCACCATGTCAAGTGTTTTTATCTTTTTGTTTTTAAAATTATATGTATGCCAAGCTTAGGAAGGAAGTTCCAAATATTTTCAAAGTGCAATCCATCAGTAAATTTCATTGCCTGTTTCCAGGAATTTTTCCCCCTCTCCAATCAAGCATGAAAGATCAGGTCCAATTAAACTGATTTATTGCCCAGAATTTATTGCTCAGGAATCTTCTAAACCAGTGGTTCTCAACCTTTTTAATGCCGCAATCCCCAACCGGTCGTAAGTCGAGGACTAAACCGGTCGTAAGTCGAGGACTAAACCGGTCATAAGTTGAGGACTACCCAACCGGTCGTAAGTTGAGGACTTTCCCTGCCCGGGAGCGCCGCGCATGCATGGTTCCGCCCCCTGCGCCGGCCGAGGCGTAGCTGGCAAGCGGCAGAGACGGAGCAGGCCGACTACCAGCTGGCCCAGCTCAAGGGAGGTAAGACACCCACCAGAAAAGGGGAAAAAAATGGCGGACAGCCTTGCTTGGCGACCCCCGTGAAATGGTCGATCGACCCCAAATGGGGTCGCGACCCATAGGTTGAGAACCGCTGTTAAACCAACGATGGATACCTGCTTGGAGTTAGGATCAGAATCAATGGAATTTAAGAGGGGTTCGTTTACGGCTACCTAGGGATTCTAGGCTGGTTCCTCTTTTGACTCCGCCCCCCCAGGTTCTGTCACTGCTTCTCCTACACCCCACTGGTTAAATGATTCCAATTGGTGGGGTCTATGGAATTCAAGGAACAATTTAGGATGCCACAGCACAAGTCACCTGGGTTATTTTATTAAACGTGTGATATTTCCAGGTCAGGCATTGAAAAATCAGAATACTCACCAGGGGAGTCTTCTGATTAAATCTCACCCTCTCCTGATTTAGCCAGAGGGCAGGGCAAAAACATCAAGATGGCAGCCAGAATGGTGAGTTTGAAACTCATCCTTTCTTCCTCCAAACGTTCCTGGAAAGTTTTAAGTCAGGGGTCTTCAAACTTGGCCGCTTTAAGACTTGTGGACTTCAACTCCCAGAATTCCTCAGCCAGTTGAAGTCCACAAGTCTTAAAAGTTGCCAAGTTTGAAGACCCCTGTTTTAAGTGTTCAATGGCCTCGTGTTGAACAGTGAATCCAAATGCTAAAATTCATAACAATCTGGCTGGCTTAAAGAAAAGGGATGAAGGTAATAAAAAAAAAAAAAGAGAGATAAATTCGAGATAGCCCTGTTCCAATAATTGACAAAGGTGATATGGAAGAAATTCGAGAGCAGCTAGGACAGATCTGGATAACCACCTGGCCAAAATGTTGTAGAGGTCCTGCACCCAGTTAAAAACCGAGGTTTTTTAAGAAGAGACTAGACAGTCACTTAGTTGAAATGGTATAGGTTCTCCTGCTTGAGCGGGGGGGGGGCTGGACTAGAAGACCTCCAAGGTCCCTTCCAGCTCTATTCAATTCTATTCTATTCCCTATTCTATTCTATTCTATTCCATATTCTATTCCCTATTCTACTATACTCTATATACTCTACTTTACTCTATTCCATTCTATTCTTCATTCCTTCTATTCTATTCTATTCTATTCTATTCTATTCTTCATTCCTTCTGTTCAATTCTGTTCTATTCTTATTCTATTCATATTCTATTCTGTTCTATTCTTCATTCCTTCTGTTCAATTCTGTTCTATTCTTATTCTATTCATATTCTATTCTATTCTATTCTGTTCTATTCTTCATTCCTTCTGTTCAATTCTGTTCTATTCTTATTCTATTCATATTCTATTCTAATTTCTATTCTATTCTCCATATTTTCTATTCTATTCTTCATTCCTATTCTATTCTTATTTCTATTCTATACTATTCCTATTCTATTCTCCATATTTTCTATTCTATTCCTTTTCTCTATTCCATTCCATTCCATTCTATTCCTTTCCGTTCCATATTCTATTCTATTCTTCATTCCTTCTGTTCTATTCTATTCTAAAATATTTTAACTTTGCAAATGTTACAGCCCAGAAATTTGAAGACCT